GGGGAGCTCATACTGAAAACATGTTTTCAAATTGGACAGCCAACACGACAGTTTTGTAACAGGAAACTGAATTACTGTGTTTCCAAGGATGTGATTAAAATCTTCCCCTCTGCCGTTCTGGGGACGCAGGCCTTTGCGTATGCACAGGGGAGAGCGTTAGAAGTGTCGCCGGAAACCCCGCACGTGCGTGTGGCAGGCGGGCCCTCAGAGACTCATTGCGTGTCTCCTTCGAACGAGGGATAAAACCCAAGCGCCTGCGGCCAGCGGGTCGGGAAGGTGAAGCGGGGTCTTAATGAGGGAGCCTGGATCATTCCGAACAGGCGCGGGACACAGAGCTAGCGTGGCCCCTGCTCAGCCAGCAGGCTGTGTGGGGTTGGGTATATGAGGTTTGTCTTGGCCCGGTTCTAACTCCGCTCTCCAGTCTCCTGGGCTCCAAGCTTGTGAGGGTCTCGCCCATCACTGCTCACCTGGGGCAGCTGGTGGCTCGCTGCCCACCCAGCCACTGAGCCCTGCCCTGGGAGCACTGCTCTGTGTCCAGAGAGCCCCTCGCCCCTGGCCTGGGTGGGCCTGTGGGGCTCAGTGCAGTGTCTCAGTTAGGCGGCCTTGCTCACAGTCCCTACCTTATCTCCGTCTTCTCCAGGGGGACCCACAGGGCCGGCTGGGCCTGGGAGTCCTACGGGGCCCTGGAGCCCATCTCGGCCAGCGGGGCCTTGTGGTCCTTTCTCACCCTAGAGAGGAGAGAGAGCCCCAGTTGGATGCAGGCCACTGCCCGGAGGAGGGAGGAAAGGTAGAGTGCCCACCACCCCAGGGGGGTTCAGCAGAGACCTCGGGGGCCCGCTCTGAACCACCCACCCACGCAGATCCTGGAAACATCATTCTTTCACTGATGGGTAAACTGAGGCACCATGAGTGGGTAGTAGAGGCAGGTCTCAACCCAGCCAGATGGTTTCTTGCCTGTGTGCATAGTCCTGCAAGTGACCAGGGCCCGGGGGCCAACCTGGCCACCACCCTGTTCACACATAGTTCTCTGCAGCTAGAGCTCCCTGCACACACGTACACGCACACACCACAACACACAAATGCATGTGTGTGTGCACACAGAGACATGCATGTCCTCACATGCACACATGTGCTCGCATGCATTCACACGCACACACACAAGCACCCAAACACATACTAACATGCACATACATTCCTTCACATGCACAGACATATGCATTCAATGCACACATACACATCCTCACATGCACATACACACACATATACCCACATGCATGCATTCTCTTGTGCATGCACAGACCCATGAAGACATGGACGAACATATGCATTCATACGCACATGTACCTACTCACATGTGAACACTCAGACACACTTATACAATACACACAGACATACTCATATGGCCATTCATGTATAGCAAACACAAACATGCACACACCGGCATATGCAGACATGCAAAGGCACATGAACTTGTGTACATGTACACACACAGCATATACTCATGCACAGACACAGACATGCAATGTGCACTCTCACATATGCAGGTGTGCACACACATGCACAACGTCATGCACACACACCCGTATGCATTCATGCACTCATGCAAATACGTGGGTGCATATATGGATATACACATGCACATGTATACCATGCACACAGACACCTACACACAGGCTCATGCAGGCGCTCACACACACACGCTCAGGCACACACACTGACATGCACATGTGCATGCGCACACACGCGATCTTCACTGTCCACCTGAGTTGGCTCCTCTGCGTCATCACCGCCCCTGGGCCAGCCCCGAGGCTCCAAAGTCCTGCTCCGCTTTGCCAGCCTTTGTTGTGCCCCAGCCTCGCAGGACCAGGGCTGGGCCCATCGGGGCGGGGGCGGAGGAGGAGATGGCCCCTGGTCATCCTCCTCTCTGTCCCCTGTCACACTCTTCTCAGACCTCAGCTCCTCCTCTGGCCAGGCCAGTGTGGAGAGGCCACGGCCACAGCCGGGCCCAGTCTGGCGCTGGCAGAGAGCCTGCCCCTGCTGCGGGGTCCCTGACGAAAAGCGTGACTTCTGTTTCCACAGAGACGGGCTGTTTGCGGCGGGCCTGCGCACGCACGGACTCTCCGTGTGCTGCGTTCCCCGTTTTCTGGGGCGGTTTTCAATGGGATGAATGCCCTGGGCTCCTCTGGGTCATGAGACGCCAGCCACGCTGCCTGTTTCCCTAACCACACTGAGCAGACCCCTGGCCACGCAGTTGTTTCCAAGGGCTTCTCACGCACAGCTCCCTCCGGGGCCTTCCTGGCAGGCACAGAGCACATGTGGGACATGACGCCGCTTCACAGGAACCAGCCCGCACCCGCGTCAGAGCTGGTGCCCAGCACCTGGGCCCACTCTCATCACCTGGCTCCGAGGGGACGCCGCGCTGGGGCTGGCCCTACTGTCTGCACACAGGGCCCCCAGGGGAAGGTTCAGAGCAAGAGGCTCACGTCGGGTGAGGCCCAGGGTGAGCTGGCCCAGGGTCAGGAACTGCTCTGGGGAGGGGCTTGCAGGGATGGGCATCGTGTGCGCGGCATGAAGAGACCCCCTGCCACAGGCAGGTTCCCAGGCCTGTCTTTTGTGTGACACTCACTGCGTGGGCTCCAACTGGCACCTTCCGGCTGAGTGCCAGGCAGGAGGGAGCATGCGTTAATCTCCCTGATGGGACACAGTACCCGGGCAGGTTTGGCAGAGGCACTGCCCATGCCCGGAGTTTTCACAAGCGCTGCACACTTCAGGGTTCACAGAGAAGCTGGGCCACCGAGGGACAGAAGACACCCCCTACCCTGATCAGCTGGGTGTCCTCCCTCCTGCGAGGGGAGCCTCTTCCCCCACTATCTCGCGCTCTCTCAAGACACAGCTGCAGCTACTCACATAGCAGGCAGAGGGTAGGCCCATGCCCTTGGCACTCCCAGGGGTAGGACCCCATCCCCTGAAGACACAGTGTCCCAGGTCCATGTTGGAAGTGGAGGCACGGGCTCAAAGCAGCCTCTGGTCAGAAGCCTGGGGACTGGGCCTCTCTCTCCCTGTTGCTCTCCTCCCTGCTCTGGGCACAGGGTAACTGTCATCAGATCCCACAATGCCTGGCCAGACCCCCTGCTGGCAGTCCACATCCCTGGAGCAGGGCATCTGGTGCCTCTCTCCACTGACCCCTGTTCAGGAAGTCCAGGCGGATGGATGACACCCAGTTTGCAGCTGCAGCGGGCGTGTGCTCTGATGCGTAATTTCATGTCTGAACAAAGGGCACCTTCTTGGCCCCATGGTGGCAGAGCCGCGCCCCCCAGGGAGAGCTGTGGCTCCTGCCGGGTGCCCAGCCTGAGTCTGCCTCATTCCCTGGTTCCAGCAGGTGGACGGTCCTGCGTGGAGGTGACCAGCGTCACGATGCCTTAACCTTCTGGGAGGGCCTGCCTCTTGACCAGCCAACCCTGCTCACTGTGTCCCAGATACTGTGGGTGACAAGGGCCCCGATGCCCCAGGAGGTCACCCTAGTGGTGCTGTCATCTGTCCTGCGTGTTCAGGTGGGTCCCGCGGCATATGGTCTCCTCCCTCCGGCCACAGTTTCAGGGTGAGAGCCAGGTTCTG